ATATATATAAGCTGTATTCGATACAGTATTATCTAATACACTTATACTTAGTGCATAGTATAGCATACNCAATATTGGTCGCTAATCTCAGTATATATTTGACCAAGCAAGTCTGACCAGTCCAGTCAACAATTTGACTAAATTTGCGGCCAAATAGCGACCAACTTTGGTCGCTAATGTATTTCAAATATTTTTTTTATTATTTTCGGCAGTTTGGCGACCAACTTTGGTCGCTTTTCTTGACAGACCAAATTTGGTCGCTAATTTTTGGTTGCTTTTTCTCGGATTTCTAGTAGTGTATCACGAACGGAAGATTTGAAGCCGCCCGTCTATGACTTGAGTTCGCCTTTGAAATTTGACCACAGACGACGATTGCAGATATGGATGAAGACCTTGATGCTATTCTTCAGAGCTTCTTTAGCCTTTCCTTCTACTTACTTGCTTCTCCCTTAGTCTTCTCCTTTGACCCCTTTATATAGGTGTGGGGTGGAGTAATCTCCAAGAAAACCCTAGTGGATCATTGGGCTTGATGCTTTTGGGCCGACCCATTTGATAGAAGACCAATTTGTCGGCTAGCCCAATAATATATTGGACCTTTATTTAAATCGATTTAAATAACAAACCCAATTATACAAGTCCATGTTACTTAATTGGACCAATATATATTTAATTTGTGGTAAAATCCAAATTTCTTATGGATTTAAATTTGACAAAATTGTAATTGTCTACAAATACCCCCTATTTCAAGGCTTGTCGGGATGTAGGCTTGCCGAAATGAGTGGCGAGACTTGAAGTACCGGTGATGATGACAATATTCATGTGAAAAGACTCTTCCTTGACTCCATCTCGCATTAGAAGCCAGTTGAACGTGCCATGTAAAATTAATCTACACTCTATCTCTCCATTGTAATTTTTTGTGTAGCAATTCTCTGTAATCATCGGTGAGTACATTCACATGGCCTAATATTATAAGAGAAATTTGATTATATCCTCACAAGATAAGGCCGTGAAGCATTTATCAATAAAGTTTTCAATTCAAGCCGCGTAGAATTATTATCATGCCAACCCTAAGCTCCTTTAGCTTTCTTGTTTGCCGTTTCTTTTTTAAGAAATAGAATTTGATTCTAAGTCTGACTCTACAATAACTTGAATTTTGAGTTATTTAAGGAAATAACTTAGTCGGAAGACCAATTAGTCCCGTCTTTAAGACTCTATATAAAGACGCTTGGACTCCTTATGTCCATCATGAATTCAATAGGGCGCCTAAGGAGCTTATGGTCTTAACAAGAGGTAAAATTCTCTCCCTCGTCAGTTTACTCTCCTTACTTTTGTAGCAACTTTTCTCAAGAATGAATAACATTCATCTTTCTTTTATATCTTCAGAGCTTCCACACCAAGAGTTCCCCACATTCTCTGGCTTTACCGTTTGCTATTAGTACCATGCTGCTAATTTTAGTGATCAATTTGGGCCGCTAAGTCTGTACCGCAAAGTCTATATGAGCTTGAAACTACGGCCAACGAGCATTTAGGAGGCGCAATAGAAGTTCAGTGAAGGAAAAGATTTTCCAAGGCTGAAGTTGTGTTGCCATAGGCTCGCACCAGTCCTTTTGATTTGCAATCTTCCCTAAGTAGACATTGCTGTGCGACAGAAGGGTGGAGAGTCCTTTTAGTTTCAAACGAACATCAACAAGGGACTTCCAAAAGAAAAAATATTGGTCAAGCTTCTTTTATTTTTTTTTCTTGTGAGGATCTGTTTTCTTTTCTTATCTTGCAAATTTTCTCTTTTGCAGCATTACAAGTTATTTAACTTAGTAGATTTGGAAGCGAGCCAGAACAACAACCCAAGAGCCGCATATCACTACTCGCAACGCTCTTCCGCTTGTACCATTGGAGACTTCCGTTCAACATCCAAATTGGAAGGACTAGGAGTACAGCACTGCTATTTACCATAATGAATTAAACTGTATGTCACAGTGTTCCCCATGTTTATTTGGAAGTTCGCGTTGTCGGCCTCGATGTCTATTATGCCGAATCGAAGCATTGTGCTACCGGCATCGCATTTGTAGAAGCAGAAACGTCGTGCTATGGCACCGATATCCATTAATCGAGCTAATCGTCTTGCTACTCGCACCGTATCCGCAAAAACATCATGTTGTTGGCACCGAGGAATCCAATTTTTTTTTTTTTATTTTTGTAGGTTTTCAAGAGAGTGCAACGACAACTTGGTACATCCCTTCTTGCGGCTCAACAAGAGACATTTAGAGTAGTCCTAAGCGAGCTTGATTGACGATACATATCCCTACTTTGCAACCTGTGAGCTAGAACATGGTGCATCTCAGCCTTGCGACTTGGCAAGAAAGAGGCTT